TTACACATGATGTGTTTTATGTTGACAAGATAAAGGTTGTCTCCCAATGCTCATGGCTTTTATAGCTTTACACATGATGTGTTTTATGTTGACAAGATAAAGGTTGTCTCCCAATGCTCATGGCTTTTATAGCTTTACACATGATGTGTTTTATGTTGACAAGATAAAGGTTGTCTCCCAATGCTCATGGCTTTTATATCTTTACACATGATGTGTTTTATGTTGACAAGATAAAGGTTGTCTCCCAATGCTCATGGCTTTTATATCTTTACACATGATGTGTTTTACATTGACAAAACTAAACACCATTAGAAGGTAAGAGCCTATGAGCATATGTGTCTTTGATTTCCTTAAACATGGTATTGGAAGCCAAAGTGTATGTAATGTGGAATGTATGTGAAAAACTTGTCAAGATGCCTGGTTTAAAATTGACTTTTCCATCCATTGCAGAAGCTTGTTACAACAAATCTTGTGGTACTGTGAAAAATAATGCATAATTTTGGCCATCAGACTAAGCACAATCAGCAAGTGTGGATAACCTCAGTATGCATAATGTTTCAGGCTTAACAGTTAATTCTTTCAAACAAAAGAACCTTACAAGAATTGTTTGGTTTTAAATTACTTAATTCTATGTAAACTTACCTGTAGGTGATTCTTGTAGATATATACAGGATTTGAAAACTGTGTTTTCTGACCCACAGATTCACTGAAGATGATGATCTGTTCAAAAAGGAAAACTTGCCTTTCCTTTATCTTTCCTCCTGATGCTGGTTCTACCACAAGGAGACTACCTTGAAGTAACAGCTTCCCCTGTGCTGTGATTTTACCCTGTACAAAGAAATGATTCATTTTACCATTAAATGTGGATCCACATGTAAAGTGCTAATCATATGTAATGTCTCAATGTTTCCTGAAAAAGAAATAAAAGTTAATAAAATGTATACAGAACTGGTAAAAGAGTATTGGTCAGTTAAAAAGTATACAGGTACAAAAAAGGAATACTTGTCACATGAAAGGAATGGTGGTTTAAAAATAACAGTACAAAACTGACAGATTGTTGTTGTTGTTGTCTGGTATTAAGCACAAAGGGCTATCTGTGCTCTGCCCACCATGCGTATCGAAGCCCAGTTTCTAGCTGTACAAGTCCGCAAACAAACCACTGTGCCACTGGGGGGCTTGACAGATGAAATGGAGCTCAAATAAAATGAACACACGATTGTTATAAGGAATACACGTAAAAAATAATACATGTTAAGAAGCACATAACTGACAAAAAGTGTCTGGTCTGATATAACAATACAAGTTTCAAAAAAGTAGTAATGGTAGAAATGAGAAAAAAATTATATATTTAATAAAAGGATTAAAGTAAAACACACTTGGAAAAAAAAAAGGTTTACAGGTTTGCTAAAATGAGTACAACTCTAATTAGAGGAACAAAAATTTGTTAAGAAGTACAATGAATGTACATGACCTACCAAAATAATACAGGTCTGATAAAAGGAGTAAATGACCGATAAAAAGTATAGGTAGAAAAGAATCTGATTTAAGAAATACTAGTCTAATAAAAAATGGCAAAATGCTTTTGTATTTTTTAAGGCATGTTGAAAGAAACTTAATTATTTTCAGTGGAAAAATTAGTTTTAAAGAAATATTTGATGTTTTGAAACTAGAAAATAAATGCTAACTTGTTTTAAAATCTGTACAAAAAAAAAGCCAATGTATATTTACATCAAAGCCCTGTAAGCGTCCCACATTCATCATATCATTAGCAGCTTTAGGTACCACATGCATAATATGGACGGCCTTTTTTAACTCTTCTGCCTCTTTCTGAAGACCAGCCTTTTCTGTGTATTTCAAAATGTCCTGAAATATATAGATAAATAATCCAATGGAAAAGAGCAATATGTTTTAATAAATTTAAACCTTGAGATACAACCATTTATTGTATAGTTGACATAGAGAATTTTTTAAGCTCGAATGAAAACAATTCAACAATATTTTCCATGAACGTCTTCTTTAACTAGAATTGTGATAACATTTGTAGCTCTACTTTAGCAAGAAAACCAACACTAGATGCAGTTTTAAACCCATAATGAAGAACAGTCATTGCAACATGTCTACTAACCATCACATCTTACAAAAAATACTTAAAACAAGAGAAAAGTAGACATGACCTAAACTACAAGTAAGTGTAAAAGTGAATCATAAAGTGTAATAGACATAACCTAAACTACAAATTAGTGTAAAAGTGGATCATAAAATGTAGTAGATATGGTCTAAATTACAAGTAAGTAGGGAATCATAAAGTGTAATAGACATAACCTAAACTACAAATTAGTGTAAAAGTGGATCATAAAATGTAGTAGATATGGTCTAAACTACAAATTAGTGTAAAAGTGGATCATAAAATGTAGTAGATATGGTCTAAACTACAAGTAAGTGTAAAAGTGAATCATAAAGTGTAGTAGCTATGATCAAAAATATAAGTTCCAATATTAAAACTAAATGAACTTTGTACAACATAAGAAGTATTCCATTACTTAAAAATGTATATGACTTAGTGGATTAGTGTGCAGAAGAACATATTCCATAGCTTTAACAAGGGTTCAAACTAATCCCTCATATTTTTCTTACCTTCAGCATAAGTTGATACTTCATCACCCTCTGGACAGGTTTTATTAATAGATCAGGCAGTTGGAGCTTGTGACCAAGCTTCTGTCGTAATTCCTGAGAGAGTTAAAATGCTTTTTTATACTTATAATAATATATGTTTTTATTTCAAATTAGAATATTTCTCTCTTACACAAAATCAATTCAAAAGAAATGTTTCAAATACTACAAGTTTTTACATAAAATATTAAATTGAAATCACTGTAAGGCATACATTATTTCTAATCTTAATAAATTAATTTACTGTGAATAAGTTGAATCTTACCTCAAAGTAAGTATCAATGTACTCTGAGACAATATACTCAGACTTGGGTTTATTCTGGCAGTAGACAACATACATGTGCAACCTTCTCTCATACCGACGAAATAATGGACCAAGTCTTCCTGGTTCTGTGGCACATTTCTGTAACTCCCCATGAAATGTGCTGTAAAAATTAATAGTATTGTAAACACAAATATCATGTACACTGTAGTATAAAACTAATGCCCTATAAATAGATGTGATGTGCACATTAGTACAAAAATGCTATGTAAACACAGTATCACAAAGCTAATACTGTAAACACTGATGGCTTAGAAATAATATAAAATTAATGTTGTAACTACAGTATATCACACAAATGATAGTATTACCACAAGTATTATATAAAACGTCATAGAAAGAGGTTACTTTGGTGACAGATATGCAAACACCTGTACCACAAGTATGTAAACACTTGTAAAAGTAGTTCTATAACAGAACTATTTCAACTATGTGCAGGTATAACCAGCATCAGAAAAAGTATTACTTTAACTGCTGGCTTGTAAACAAATATAATCAGTAAATAATTAATTCTGTGTTTTCTCCTCCCTTTATTAGTATGAAGAATCTTTGAAATTTCTGTACTTACTTTCAGTTCAGTTTGGATGTTCAAAGTTCTTAAGTAAACACATCTTCAACTTGTTTCTTTCTAGCTAGCCTGATACCTCATTCACTAATTAGCAATTAATCAAGTTTCTTGCAGGGAAGATAGCAAGAGATGTCTAGGAATAGAAGACTGCCTTTTCTATCAAATCTACATACTTTCAGATTAAAACTAAATCTCTGTTGTTGTTGATACAGATGTAAATTTATCTTTAACTATTTATCGAATCTACTGGCCAAATTATAACTACCACCTCAAAAGAAATATGTTTTTTTTTATTTTGCACAAAGCTACACGAGGGCTATCTGCGCTAGCCATCCCTAACTTAGCAGTGAAAGACAAGAGGGAGGGCAGCTAGTCATCACCACCCACCTCCATCTCTCGGGCTACTCTTTTACCAATGAATAGTGGGATTGACCATCACATTATAACTCCCCACGGCTGAAAAGTGAGCACGTTTGGTGGGATGGGCATTCAAACCCACGACCCTCAGATTGCAAGTTTGAGTGCTCTAACCACCTGGCCATGCCGAGGCAAACACTTATGATCTCCTAACAAAAATTATTCAGGTGTTTCAGTATAAATGTTTCCTTACTTTCTGTGCCATTCATAGATAGCTTCAATGTTTCCAAAAACTATTTTGTCCTTTCCATTCTTCAGGTCATCTGGTACTGATACTTCACCAGACTTCATAAGTACTATGTAACCCTGAATAAAAAGATATATAACCAATGTTGTAAATTAACTGACCTAAGTAAAATCTCTGAAGGCTGTACAAACACACTTTTCAGTTTATTACATTTAAGTGCTTTGAAAAGAGAGAGTGAAAAAAAAAATCTACCTCTACAATGCTTCTTAGATCTTTCACATAGTCTTCTTCTGTATCAATGAGCTCCTGGATCACATACCTGCATAGAGTTAATTACTTTGAACTATGCATACTTTACACATTTTTTGATTAATACTCAGTAAAAATACATTTTATACCATTCTGTAACACATGAGCTTCATGATGTCACAAGGAAATAGGACAATAATTTTTACCACACTTATCCTCATTGTTAAAAACAATTTGATAAATATAATTTTCAAGATATAATAATTCCAAACAATGTTTTTGCCTTTACAGTAAAAAAAAAATTCACTAATAACAGTTTAATACTTTTGGGTTTATTTTCTATAATCACTTACTCTTCCAAATAAACTGGACTTAGAACGTGTAGTTAGAGAAAGTTTCTAAAAATGATCAACTGAAACAAAAATGTGTAACACCACTACATAAACATCAAAATAAAGCATAAAAAGAAAAAAACCAGCATGAAGTTCATAAAGAGAATGTAATGGATTAATACCATCAGAAGTGTGTGAAAAAACTATGACCTACTAGAAACAGGCTATGTAAGTGTTCAAACCCATAAGATATGTGTAAAAGAAGCTACGAGCCTATTTGCAATAGACTAAGTATGCAATCAATCTTAAAATCAATATGTAAAAAAACTATGTATTAAGGGTTAAAATGTAACTTTTTTTAATACTTGCATTTTTTTGACAAGTTCAACAAAAATCATCTGACAAAATCAAGAAACATTAATTTTGAAGACTAATACTTGTACCATTAAAACACACCACTCCAGTACACATTAGTAATAGATCATCAATAGTTAACACACCACAGCACATCAAAGTTTGGTAACACATCAGTGCTTTATAGCAAACAGTTTTACTCAAATATATCACACTTTGAATTGAAGGTAGCATTGGTCTCACCAGAGAGTGATGAATTTGTTCAAGAAAACCATGACTGGAAACAAATGATGCTCCTAAGAACATGATCACACTAAGTTTAACATTTAGTTTTACATCTATATGGTACAGTCATTGGCCTTTTTATTTACAGCCTTGACATCCACAATCTGCATACAGGTGGTGCTTTGTATCAAACACATCCATTAACAATGCTATTCCAACAAGCTAAAATGTATATTCTTTAATTTATTTCAATTATTTTTGTGTTTGAGACTCTGTCACCCAAATGTCATAATATTCTTGTGACATCAATAACTACAGCACATTTACATTATCTCCACTTTTTATAATAATTTGAATTTTCTAAGTTTTTGCACACTATAAAGTTGTTAAAAATGCAATTGAGAGCTTGCAATTTAAAATACGAAATCAATGGGAAAGAAAAACATAATTCTAATTCTTAATATAGATGATATGAACTCGCTTCTAATTGATAGCATAAATATTTGGGTTACTTTATACACATGGCAAGTCTTAGTAAAATAAGCCCCTCACTGACACATTAATAGGGAACCTAATTTCTATATGAAAATTTAAAAATACATTCACACTATACGAGTATTCAAGTGCAAAATTCAACCCTTGTGAACTACAGAGAGAGAGCCTGTGTAAGTTATCAATCTCATGAGATACCAGTAAAACAGCTGTGACACAGTAGAAAAACTTTTCATAAGTGATAAATCTCAGAGAGAAGTACATAAAACTGCTATAATCTACCAGAAAGAAAGAGGTTGCACAGGTGATCAGCTTTCAGAAAGATGTAAACTAGTTGATAGATGCAGTGCCAAGCAATTGTCCCTCAAAGAATCTGTGGAGCAGTTGTGAGCTAGAACCTGTGTAAGTTATAAATCCCACAAGAGATACGTAAAACAGTTGTGATTCAATAAAAAATACACAAATAGAAAGTAATAATCCCTTGAGGAATCTATAAAAAAAATTTTAACTTATGAGTAACAAGCTATGTAAATGATCAAGCCTCAAAG